TATTTACAATATATATATATGTATATCTATCTATCTATATATGTATATATATATATGTATTTATTTACGTTTATGTTTGTTAATAATTCCTGTTTATTTAACTATATATTGGTTAATACTATTGTTTAAATTTCTTATATTTTCACGTATCTTTCCTCTCTTGCAAGGAGCACCTGTAACAGATAATTTCCCCTCGGGGACCAATAAAGTATTTCTGATTCTGATTCTGATTCTGAAGAAAGCTAGCTGGACATGGGTTTTGAAGCCTCTTTGGTCACGGAGCTCCCTCCATTTCTTGAACACCTGACTGAGGTTTACTCTTGTTTTTCCTCTTCTTTTATCACTCTCCTTTTTGCTCTTCTTTGCCTCCTCACACAGAGGAGCTCCTTTTCTTTTGCTAGGCCGTTTTTCACTTGTTTCCAAACTTTGTCCGTCTGCCATTGTGCTCGTGACTCAACTATCTCATGCCCAACTCCTCATAAGGACCAGCTCCAGTCCCTGATTGGCTGACTGACCAGTTTGGCAATACATGACGCGTTTCCTGCTGTAAAGCAGATTTTTTCCGCTCCCGGTGGCAGAAGCTTATTACAAAGATTGCAAAGCCACTAAGTAACCTATGTAAATGCTGATAGTCTGATTTTACTGTGGACACTACCCTGTGCAACCCACATTATTTTCATCATGAGATATTTAGGAAAAGATGCTGTCTGTTGCCTCTTTAAAGCACGGTGCAAAGTGCCACACAGAGGCATTTAAAATACGATGATTTGATTATTGACAGATGTGATTAACTATTTCAAGTGGCTCTTATAATAAATGCAGTATTTTTTAGGACAGTCTTTAACCTCACAGATTAAACTGTGCTCAGTTTTGACTGTTTACTGAGTGTTGTTTTAACTTCTGGACCATTCAACTGGTCGAAGCTTCAAGTCTCGTGTAAACATTCACAGTGCTCATGATGAAACTGACTTTACAGTGTGCTTCTCCCGGTGTCAGCGTGGGTTTCCTCCAGGTGCTCTGACATGTTCTCCCTGTGTCAGCGTGGGTTTCCTCCAGGTGCTCTGACATGTTCTCCCTGTGTCAGCGTGGGTTTCCTCCAGGTGCTCTGACATGTTCTCCCTGTGTCAGCGTGGGTTTCCTCCAGGTGCTCTGACATGTTCTCCCTGTGTCAGCGTGGGTTTCCTCCAGGTGCTCTGACATGTTCTCCCTGTGTCAGCGTGGGTTTCCTCCAGGTGCTCTGACATGTTCTCCCTGTGTCAGCGTGGGTTTCCTCCAGGTGCTCTGACATGTTCTCCCTGTGTCAGCGTGGGTTTCCTCCAGGTGCTCTGACATGTTCTCCCTGTGTCAGCGTGGGTTTCCTCCAGGTGCTCTGACATGTTCTCCCTGTGTCAGCGTGGGTTTCCTCCAGGTGCTCTGACATGTTCTCCCTGTGTCAGCGTGGGTTTCCTCCAGGTGCTCTGACATGTTCTCCCTGTGTCAGCGTGGGTTTCCTCCAGGTGCTCTGACATGTTCTCCCTGTGTCAGCGTGGGTTTCCTCCAGGTGCTCTGACATGTTCTCCCTGTGTCAGCGTGGGTTTCCTCCAGGTGCTCTGACATGTTCTCCCTGTGTCAGCGTGGGTTTCCTCCAGGTGCTCTGACATGTTCTCCCTGTGTCAGCGTGGGTTTCCTCCAGGTGCTCTGACATGTTCTCCCTGTGTCAGCGTGGGTTTCCTCCAGGTGCTCTGACATGTTCTCCCTGTGTCAGCGTGGGTTTCCTCCAGGTGCTCTGACATGTTCTCCCTGTGTCAGCGTGGGTTTCCTCCAGGTGCTCTGACATGTTCTCCCTGTGTCAGCGTGGGTTTCCTCCAGGTGCTCTGACATGTTCTCCCTGTGTCAGCGTGGGTTTCCTCCAGGTGCTCTGACATGTTCTCCCCGTGTCAGCGTGGGTTTCCTCCAGGTGCTCTGACATGTTCTCCCTGTGTCAGCGTGGGTTTCCTCCAGGTGCTGTGACATGTTCTCCCTGTGTCAGCGTGGGTTTCCTCCAGGTGCAGACAAACCAAACACAGACTTTAGATAGAGACATTCATGTTTTCACGTCAGCTGCTCTGCGACGAGCAGCATCAGAGGAACACAGATTATTATTTTTTCTTTTTTAAACATGAAACGTCTTTCCTCAGAGTGTGTCCTGGTGTAAATCAGCTGGTGTGTTTGTTTCTGAGAGGAAGAGACCTCGATTATAATTCAGCTCCTCAACACTGCAGGAATTCTGACCAGGAGAAGTTTCAGCTGGTCGATAGACGACACTTCGTCCTCCTCAGTCTGACACAGTGGAACTTCAATGTTGAAATATTGTTACTTAGTCGTGTAGAGTTCAAGTACAACGTTCGTCTCAGGCTTTAGCCGCAGAACTACGTGATTTTAAAAAAAAAAAAAAAAAAAAAAAAAAAACATGACAGAAGGTGACCTGATAATCTGTCTGCTCTGTCCTGATCATGCCTGTTGTTCCTCTTTATGTTTTGCAGGAAGCCTCTTGGTTTCCAGGATCTCAGTGCTCACTTGGAGAGGTTGTTGTCTGAGGGAGAACCCACTGAGGACAGCAGAGGTAATCATCAAGTCTCCTCACCATCTTTCAGCTCAGATCATTTACTTCATTTACAGATTCTTCAGTTTCTGAACGACTGAGACATATGATTAAATCAGCCGTCATTAACAAGCTGCTGAACAAACCCTTGTTATAAACTGTGATGTCGTCTGCTAAATCAGATTCATCCACTTTGAACTGAGGGTTTTAAATGTCATCAGCTTCATTTGGTCGTCCTCTGACTGCACACAGAGATCAGCCTGATCAACTGTCCTGATGTCTCATGATGTTTAAATCTGTTTCTGCAGATCAGCCTGTTGAAGGGCGTCTGGGCCCTCAGCCCGTCGTCCTGGATCACACCAGCGGCTTCGAGGGACTTCTGTTTGTAGATGACGACCTGCTGGGGGTAAGAGGAAGTATTAGATATTCATCATTCAACACAGCAGCAGAGCAGCACTCGGGCTGTTTACATGACGTCAGAGACACTGATTTACTGCTCTTTATAAATCCCCGTAAACACTAACAAACTGTTAGTGTGAGTGAAATGGTCCTGCAGTGAATGTGTCACAGTGGGACTAACACACCCAGATCATGTGACTCCTGCATGTATACAGTCAATCAGACCCAAACTGGCCGAGGCGCTCTGAGCATGCTCCACAGTTTCCGCCCCGGGCTTTGAGCCGGAAGTCCAATAGCATTAAATGTGTAAGAGAAGAAGAAGCCGGTAACAACATGGAGAAATCTATATCCAGAGCCGTGACTTTTTGGACGTACCAAATGTACAGAGCTGTAAAGTTGTCCACCATGGTAGCAGTTAGCTGCTAGCTAACCTTAGCTAACTTGTTTGTCCATTGTTTGGTCTGTGACGTAATAGGTCAACAGGAAAAAGGTCCAATACTAACAAGCTGAAAGGGGGCATATCTCCACCTATCGTAGAGGAGTCGCACATACTTACACACCAGCTTCCTCCCACAGTCCAAAGACATGCAGGTTAATTGGTGACTCTAAATTGTCCGTAGGTGTGAATGTGAGTGTGAATGGTTGTCTGTCTCTATGTGTCAGTCCTGTGATAGTCTGGTGACCTGTCCAGGGTGAACCCTGCCTGTCAGCTGGGATAGGCTCCACCCCCATGCGACCCCAACAGGATGAGTGGTTACAGAGAACGAATGAATGAGTAACACATCTGATGTTTGTGATTTTTAATAGTTACACTTTTTGTGATTTCAGGTCATCGGCCACAGCAACTTCAGCTCCATCAGAGCCACCACATGTGTTTATAAAGGTAAATCCTCTCAGACACAAACCCTGCCCCATGTGTCCCATCCTCTGTCATCAGACCATATCAACACATATCTATATCTACATATAAAGACATGTAGTCAGAAAGTGAGCAGAGACATCTGAATAAATCTGTGAAACAAAAACAGTCCCAAACATTAATATTTCCATGATCACTGTCTCGTGTGAAAACAACATTGTCACACTGACTGCGTCTACATGCACACTAATATCACACTGTTATTCTGACTTTGAATTGGGTCGTGTTCGCATCATATTCTAGTTTGTTATTTTGAAGGTAACATTTTCAGATGCAGTCATGTGGGATATGTTGCTATTGTTCAGGTTTTATGAGCATGTCTCGAACATGTAAACAGCACATTCAGAGTATCAGTTTGTGACACACGGCCTCTCGTCTGCTTACAGTCGGCTCTGTGCATTGTCATGGAAATGTTACACACAAACCAACTCGCCAGCAGTTTTTCAGGCTGGTGTGGAGCTGCATGCCCAAAAGAAAAACCCACATTTCATCACACGATATGATCAAATATCACAACACCAACCTGACAGTGAGGCTGAGTTCACACAGGCCGACAGAGTCCACCGTGACAGGAAGCTGTGAACAGATCTTATGATGCAAAGAGGCAGGATGACACAAGCTGCTCTAGCTGTTCCACTTTTATATATGTGTGTATTTATAAATCTACACTCACTGGCCACTTTATTAGGTACACCTGTTCATGTAGACATGGTGAAGACGAGGTGTTGAAGTTAAACCTCATGAGAGGTAACCTTCATTTTTCTATGTTTTGAAGTGATAAAAGACGTGTTAAGTCCAGTTCAGACCAAAGATTCTGGACGAGACGAGTTGAAACAAACAACTACTGTCAACGCTCCGTTCTGTAACGTAGTAAAAAGTTGCTGGTTGACAGGAAGTGACCACGTGACCACCACCAGTTCCAAAGGATCGTATTTATTTGATGTGTGAGGATTAAAATCTGCTCCTGATGATGATCTGAGTTAAAGTGTGCAGCTTCATGGAGTTACTCAGATTCAGATAACTTTATTAAATACCCGTAGGTAGATTTGTTTTGCAGTTTTTGGAGAGCAGGCATCCAACTTAACTAATTAAATGCAGATACTCAGGACAGACAGCACTGACAATATTTACATACACAAAACAGTAACAATAAAGTGCGTCAGGCTGCACACACCCACAGCAACCCTTCAAACCCACTGTGAGCTCGATGAAGAGGAGGATAACTGAGCTCCACTGGAGGGAGGCACCACTTCCTGTTACAGACACTGAGACATAAACATTTGTTTCTTCAGCAGAAATATTGTATTTTTTCGGAATAAGAGCAAAAACCAGAATATTTTGTGCATGTAAACGGATCATCGTCCACATGTATGACCTAATGATGTAAAACAACATGCAGAACATGGCTGACCGGAGCGAAGGTCACCGAGCTGATCTGAAGCCAGAGCCACTGCTGCTGTGGAGTCTCCCTTTAAAATCACTTCTGTCTTTATGTTCACAATAAACAGGTGGGACTTCACTATAGCTGTGACCTCTGTGACAAGCTTCAGTCACGTGGGGCAAAAACTGTGGCTGCCAACCGACGATGTGTGGAGCTGCTGATCAGCTCAGACATCTGCATTCTCATTGTTCTGTCTGTGTGTGCAGGGAAATGGGCCTACGAGGTGCTGATCTCCTCCCAGGGTCTGATGCAGATCGGCTGGTGTACGCTCAACTGTCGCTTCAACCAGGAGGTACACACACACACACACACACACACACACACACACACACACGTCATTATTACAGGCGTAGAAACTATCTGTAATAAACATATTTAACATTTCAGTAACTGAGTACAACCAGAAACACAGTGTGTGTGTGTGTCTGTGTGTGTGTTCAGGAGGGTGTCGGCGACACTCCAGACTCGTACGCTTACGATGGAAACAGAGTGAGGAAGTGGAACGTGACGACCACCAACTATGGAAAGGTAAGCAGCGACACAGACAGAGAGGTCGGAGGCGGAGCTTGTCGGGCTGATTGTGTGGTGCTGACGGCAGATTGTCTGTCCTCAGTCATGGGCGGCCGGAGACATCGTCAGCTGTCTGATAGACCTGGACGAGGGAACCATCACGTTCTGTCTGTGAGTAAATCAACTGTTTGAAGGAACATTTGGGTGAATCCTGCTGCTCTCGCTCTCTCTGGGTCACATGTTGATTCAACAGTAAGTACTGGTTAGCTTAGCTTAGCATAGAGACTGGAAACAGCTAGACTGGCTCGGTAACACAGTCCACTGAGTAACATGTTATATGTCGGGGTGACCTCCAGCTCACCTGGTAGAGTTTTAGCTCTGTATAGGCCGAGTCCGTCGCAGCGGCCTGAGTTTGATTCCAGCCCGTGGCCCTTTGCTGCATGTCACCCCCCTGAACCTTTAATATAATTAATATAGGCCTATATTTTATCTCCAAGTGCACGTCACACACTGAGCGAGCCGCCTGTTAATGACGCTGTGGGCTAATGGGCATGTAGCTACTTCCATGTTTCAGATGATACGTCATGTTTGTAGTCGACCAATGAAGATGAGTTTACATATCACCTTGGGTTCGTCCTTCACCTTCTCAAAATGATCCCACACTTTGGATTTCCTGCCCGACATGTTATTAACTAGCCTGTGGAATAACCGCAGGTACCAGCCCTGGAGATTAACCTGACTCCTGTCTGACTGCTGAGCGTGGACACTTCCTGTGTCTGTCCTTTCAAAGTAAACTCACACATGCTCCAGTCATATAGGTTTGGATTTATTGTGACAAGGTGCAGCTCCTGATAGAGTTTCATGTTTGTTTTTGTGACTGAGCGACCTAGGGCTGGGCAATAAAACGATAGCGATATCTATCGCGATAGATACGTGATCAATATCAATAGAAAATACGTTCAATAAAATGTCTAATAAAACAGGAAGAAAATCACCATCCTGAACCGCAAGGCATTCTGGGGGATGCAGTTCCAGCGAGGGCTTCAGCCTCTCCCGGTGCTCCCGGCCCAGCTAAGCAAGTTTGGTTGCATGAACAAACAAACTCACTCACTCACTGCTTGTAACGTACGTGACGTTCCAATAACCTGTTGAGTGAGACGCACACTAGCAGTTTCATGTTTGGTTGCGCCTTCGTGCCTCGTGTCTGCAACTCATAACAAAACAGTGAAAGGAGAAAATAGGCTCGCTGGAGATGAACTGCGCCTTGCCTGGAAAGTAGACGAGAGCAGGCGGCCGCAGCGGGGGGCGGTGACAAAAAGCTGCGGTGAAGTCGGACAGTTTCCTGACAGTTTCCAGCAGCCTTCAGTCTGTACAGGAAGTCACAGACACACTTACTGATGATGGATGATGATTTGATACAAGACAACAGCTTTCATTAAGGCTCAGTCAGATACAGTCAAGGCTTCACATCTGTACACGTTATTTTAAGTGTTAATATACAGTAAACTCTGTCTAGGAAAGGTCAGTTCACCAGTTTGGCAGTACTTCGGATTTTATAATTATACAGTATATTTATTTATTTGACTGTTTTTCATGGTTATGTTGACCTCTTTTCCCCTGTGTTCGTTTGTTCATTACTGAGGAAAGGTTACATTTAAAATAAAAGTGTTTAAATTTAACATTTTTTTCTTCTGGTCCTTATTTCAAATAGGTTTTAAAAAATTCAATAATTATCGATATCGACTGATATGAAACACTTATATTGTGATACATTTTTCAGCCATATCGCCCAGCCCTAGAGTGACCAATGAAATCTTGCTGACTAATGAATGACCTTTGTGGTCGACTAACGTGAGGTTGACTGCCAGGGTGCAGCCCTAGTTATATGTCTATTTTTTTGGTCTGGACCAACAACTTCCTGTAGCCTCCACTGGTTTCTCAGAGAAATAAATAATCCTTCACATAAAAACCTGATTTGCCATTTTTACACTTCAGTTTTTGTCCTTATGAAACAAGATATGACGAATCAGTCACAACATCTGACTGTCAGAGAGAACGAGAAGAAGAGCATTTCACTAAAATGTCCAACAGCACAAACATCAGTGCCTCTGTCTGAAAACTGAAAAGATCCTAAAATGAGAGAGAAACTGAAAACGATGATGAGGCCTTAAAGCTCCAGCGTGTACGATTCAGGAGGATACACTGTCAGAAGTCTGTTTTCTTTAGTGTATAATCAGCTGACAATCAGAATGGTTGTGTTCTTGTTCCCTCAGAATGAGCTGTTTATATCTACACAGAGAGCAGGTTCTGGTCTACAGAGATCACCATGTTGCACCGCCATGTTTCTACAGTGGACAAACCAAACACTGACTCTAGATAGAGACATTCATGTTTTTGTGTTTTCACTTCAGCTCACACAGCTCTGCAATGTGCGTTCCAAAAAAACGCCCTTTAAGAAAAAAAAAAAGTGAAACATCTTTATTCAGTGTTTTTACCAGTTTTAATCAGCTGGTCCATTTTTTTTTCTGAGAGGAAGAGGCTCTGTGGATAATTCATGTTGGCAATTTGCGCCGCCATGTTTCTACAGTAGCCCAGAACAGACAAACCAAACACTCATTACGTGTACATGCACACAGTAGTAGCAAAGCTCATAGCTCAGCTCATCAGTCAAGTCGGCCTTCTCGTCTTGTCGCTGTGTCCTTTTTATTATCGTGCGTATTGAACTAGTTCTGGTTTTTGTTCAGAAACTATTTCAGATAAATCCGCATTTCGCGTTTTCCTTCCATCCATAAACAATGTTTAGCTCCTTTAGCTGTCGGAGCATGACTGTAGTTTCCTCGTCCGTCCAGAAGTGCGTCTTCTACTTCTCAGTCACCATGTTGTTTGTTTGTTTGTTTGTTTGTTTGTTTGTTTGTTTTTCCGGGAGTTACGTCATCTCCTTCTTCTTCCGGGTGAAAGCCTGCGAAAGAAAAAGTGGTGCGTCCGACTCCAGTCGCACTGGAGTGGATACATGCAGCAATAATTCGATATTTTCTAGGTGTGTTAGTTGAGCTACAGATAGCCCAATTACAGTCAGACTAGGCAGTTTACTTGCATTTCGGTTTTAGTCAATAATTCGATTTTCTCAAGATGCATGTAAACGTACTGACTGGCTCTAGATAGGGACAGCCATGTTTTTTGTTTTTGCATCGGCCTCTGTAGCTGGAAGATCCTCCGCAACAAGCAGCATCAGAAAGATACCAATGTTTTTAACACGGAGCTTGTGTCTTCTTCAGAGTGTGTCCTGGTGTGAATCAGCTGGTGTGTGTGTTTCTGAGAGGAAGAGACCTCTGAGGATAATTCAGCTCCTGAACAATGAACACTGAAGGAATTCTAACCAGGAGAAGTTTCAGCTGGTTGTAATCTGTAATCTGTAATCTGTAATCCTCACTGACAGACGACACTAAATCCTCCTGAATCTGACACACTGGACCTTTAAGAACATTTTCAGATGCACTCAACATTTCTAACAGGCTGGAAGGTGTTTCATATGTTTTTCAATCACAGAACATCTGAGTTGTTCACAGTGTAATTGAGTTTCCTCTGTATGTGCTGTCCTGCGTCCTCTGTGTCCTCGTCTTCACGCTGTGTGTCTGTGTCCTCAGGAACGGTCAGTCTCTGGGCACAGCGTTCACCAACATTAAGATGGGACCGGGCGTGGCTTACTTCCCTGCCATCAGCCTCTCCTTTAAAGAGTCAGTGGCTTTTAACTTCGGCAGCAGACCCCTCAGATATCCTTTTCACACCAGACACACCGCAGCTCATCGTCACTGACGTCTTCCTGTTTCACACTCTGACATTGTGTTTATTTATTTCTGAGTCTGATGTGGTTGCAAGGTCTGATTTTCCAAGTGTGCACTGATAAATACTGTACTGCATGAAAACGCTCCACAGAGTGGAAAATAAGAGTGTTGTCTCCCCAAAGTGATCAATATGAAAAAATAATCTTTTTAATCAATGTTGTAAAACATGCAAAATAAACAGGATATTATTATTAACATTCATGATAATAGAAAAGTGTCATTAGACAAAATCAAACGCTGAAAAAAGTTCATTAGCAAAATCTCTTCCATGGTTTTACAAATTTTCAGTTTGAGAGCTGAACACACAGAGACTTTTAAAGACAGCTTTCTCTCTGGTCTCCTGCAGACAGAGGTGAGGAGAGTAGCAACACACACGGCTTGTTTGAGGGGGAGAAGAAGGTTGTCGGGGGTCATCTGTGTCACTGCTACTCGCTTGACGGCGGACGGCCTGGCTTTTGGACCCACTGTAGAGAAGGTCCATCTCTGGCGCAGCTCGGCGAAGCACGGTGTGTCTAAACTGATAATGGAAACACAAATCTGCGCAGCATGGCTTGACTCAACACGGCAAAGAGTGAGTGGAAAAAGGGTATTTGGGGCCGCGCACGTCAGACTGTCAGTAACTTTTATAATTCAAATCAAAGTGTTTTTTACGTGTGCAGCTGGAAAAAGAATCCGAATCTCGATGACCTGAAGGGTGCATTTAACTGTTTATGAATTATTTATTTAGTTTTGGTGCAAAAACAGCAAAACCTTAAATATTGACTTCACACGAGGACAAACACAGGACAGCAAATGGTTAATTGACCTGCATTTATGTAGCTCCTTTCTGCTCATTCAACCACTCAAAGTGCTGTTTTACACTATGAGGCACATTCACCCATTCATACACACATTCACACACTGCTGGCCGGGACACTTCAACATGCAGACTGGAGGAGCCGGGAATCGAACCGCTGATCTTCCAATTAGTGGACAACTCTCTCTACCTCCTGAGCCCAAACACCACATCCATGGCGGTCACCGTCTTCCTCTTGGTGCGCTCAGTTTAGGTGACGGCGTTACGGATCACATTCTCCAGGAACACTTTTTAATGCCCCACGGGTCTCCCCGTACATCAGACTGGAGATGCGCTTCATTCCATCATGGCGAACCAGACGGAAGATGGCGGGTTTGGTGATTCTCTGGATGTTATCACAGAGAACTTGACAGTGACACTTAGCGCCTCCTTCACTGAGTCCTTTTCCTCCTTTTCCACGGCTGCTCATCTTCACAAGTCAGTGTCTCTCCACTCAGTGATTCAACAGGTGAATATACACACCAGAACAAAGATAAAACATTTAATAATAATAATAATAATATGAAACCGAGGATGAATTCAACCAGCTGATGGTCAGACTAAAGGTTAAACCTGCAGGAAGATGCCCGCTCTGCTTTCTGTTGTGTCTCAGTATTTATGCATTTTCAAAAAGAATATCAGATTTTGATCCCAGAAGATCTCCGTACACAAACCGCCGCAGTCGAAGGTTCACTGAAAAGTTTAACTGTGAATGAATGTTAATATTTCTATATGGAAACAAGCTCAGTCCCATCACAGCCGACAGCAGTGCAACGAAGAGGAGTCTGGAGAGGAGGATGACAGAATCATTAACTGAAAACAAATGTTCAGCCTTCTCAGCCCAAAGTGTCTGTTTGTAATCTGCCAGCTGTTTTAATATATCTGTAGTTTCATATTTGCAGAAGGACGTCTCCAAACTGTTGTTTACCAGAAACTGTGATTATAATATACGAAGGAGACTCTCAGAATAATCGTGTCCCCTCAGTGCTTTATTTTCAACACACAAACTGTGGCCTCACACCTGTGCACCTGTTCAGTGTTTGTCCTTAACCTGAGTGTGATCACGTACCCTGTGGACGGCTACCTGCCCCTCCAGAACCCCCCGACTGCAGACCTGCTGAAGGCTCACAAGCTGCTGGGCTACATGAAGAACGTCCTCTCCACCACCATCGACACACAGGTAGGACCAGGTGTTCTGTACACAGTTATGGACCAGGTGGTCTGTGCACAAGTAGCCTTGCATCACCAGGCTCTCCATGTACGGTGAACAGCCTGGTTTCCATTCACTCTGAATTTTGTCTGGGTTCTGGTTCCGGTCTAGAGAACGGATCCGGAATTCACCAAATTCACCAAAGTAAAACTTTAAATTCTGGCGCACCATCGATTTGGGGTGATGAGGGGTGTAAGAAAATCAATTAACTTAATGGCTTTGGCTTTTCTTGTAAATTATATTCTTTAAATTAAAAAGTTTCACCGCATTTTTTATTAGCTTGGTGCTTTTATTTTGACGGAAAGGTGCATCCATCAAATTCCAGATCCTGTCTCTCTCGCCCTGGTTCCAGTTCCTTGCCAAAACAGCCCCAGACTATTGCACAAGTAGGACCAGGTGGTCTGTACACATGAATGACCAAGTGGTCTGTTTGTTTTATGAAATAAATAATTACTGTTTTAGATTCAGTTTCTCTAAACTTTTGTTGTTTATAGTAAACAACAGCCGGCTTCTCTTTGAAACAGTTTCTGAATCTGCCCTCGTGTTTCTGTCTGGTGTGGTGATGAAGTCAGTCGCCATGACGTCAGCTCTGTTTGATTTGAGCCTGTTGTGTTTTTGTTGTGGCTGCAGGAGGAGAGGCTGGTGGAGAAGGACTATGCAGTGTGGAGGCTTCATGGAGAACCTACAGTCCTCATCACTCTGGCTCACATCTTCAACCACTTCGCTCCTCTCATGGTGACACATCTCTGCTTCTTTGGGCTCTGGTAGTCGTGTGAAAAATGAAAAGGTGTAGCCACCGTCTGACGATGTTCACATGGTTCGAGAGCAGGGCTGCAAAATTATGGGAATATTCAAGGGGAAATCTTTCCATGGGAAATAACATAAAATAGGGGGAATAAAATGTAAATAACAGAGAATACAATCAAATACCAGAAATAAGATTTAAATAAAAGGAATTTATGTAAATATTGGGAATAATTGTAAATTATGGGATAAATATAAATAATGGGAATAAAATGTTATTTGTGAATAAATGTAAACAATAGGGTAAAAATAATAAAATAATAGGATTAAAATGTAAATATTGGGAATAAATTCAAATAACAGGAAAATATCTAAATAACAGGAATAAATGAAAAAAATCACAATGAATGTAAATAATGGAACAAAATATAAATAACAGCAAAAAGGTAAAAAATTGGAGGAAAAAAATTGAATAACAGGAATAAATGAAAATGTAGGGAATAAATGTTAATAGCATTTATTTTAGAATTTATTTTTTAAATTCATGTAAATAAAATGAATGAATGTAAATAACAGGAATAATCAGAATAATGTAAAAAACAACATAATAACAGGAACAAATGTAAATGACAGGAATGAATGTAAATATTGGGGAATTAAAATGGTAAAATGGTTTTACATCAGTGGATATCCTGGTTCATGTCGCTTGGATGATGAATGAATGAATGAATGAATGAATGAATGAATGAATGAATGAATCATGATGTGACTCCTGCTGTCTGATTAGAGTTCAGTCACTCTGGTTTCAGTCAGTCTGTTTAGAGTTTAAAACTTTGGCTCCATCTGGTGGTTGAATGAAGAACCTCTGACAGCGACTCTGAGAGCAGCAGTAAAAACATTTGGCTTCTAACAAGCTGCAGATCGATGGTGTCAAACAAACTGCTACATGTTGGAGTTAGTTACAGATGGCTGAGTGTGTGTTGTGTTGTCTTCATATTAAAGTAACGAGAGTATTGTTATTATTTCTTACAGTGTAAAGTGTACCTGGTGGAGGACGTGCTGATGGACTTCCTGTTGGGGATTCTGGAGGGGGGAGGTTCGGTAGATGAACACCCGCTCATACAGCAGCTCCTGGATCTGTTCTGGCTGCTGATGGAGGTAAAAAACACACACACACACACACACATACACACACACACACACACACACACACACACACACACACACAGAGTTTCTAAAACGAGTGTGTGTGAAGATAGTGAGTCTGAACCTGCTGTAGTGGAGGTCAAAGGTCACAGTGCTCTTTCTAAGTAATTGAACAAATGATTAAAAGGTCCAGTTTGTAGAACTTAGTGACAACGAGATGGGTTGAAACAAACAACTACTGTCAATGCTCCGTTCTGTAACGTTGTAAAAAGCTGCTGGTTCACAGGAAGTGACCACCATGAGACGGCGTATCATCTCTAGTCAACGACTCTCTGCGCTTCTGATCTGTAACGTTGACAGGAAGTGACCACCATGAGACGGCGTATCATCTCTAGTCAACGACTCTCTGTGCTTCTGATCTGTAACGTCGACAGGAAGTGACCACCATGAGACGGCGTATCATCTCTAGTCAACAACTCTCTGTGCTTCTGATCTGTAACGTTGACAGGAAGTGAACACCATGAGACGGCGTATCATCTCTAGTCAACAACTCTCTGTGCTTCGTTCTGATTTGCAGCTTTTCAGACTTATTTTGTGGCTGAATATAATTTGTAGCTTCTTAAAATCTGAATGAGGATAGTGATCGTGAGATACTGGCTCCAGTGATGAAACAAAACCGGCATCAGCTGGACTGTATCCATCCATCCATCCATTCGCCCCCTTATCTGGGGCTGGGTCTCGGGGGCAGCTGCCCGAGCAAAGCACCCCAGACGTCCCTCTCCCCAGCAACACTTTCCAGCTCCTCCTGGAGGACCCCGAGGTGTTCCCAGATGAGATGAGATATATAATCACTCCAGCGTGTTCTGGGTCTGCCCCGGGGCCTCCTACCAGTGGGACGTGCCCGGGACACCTCCTGCGGGAGGCGTCCAGGGGGGATCCTAGTCAGATGCCCGAACCACCTCAACTGACCCCTTTCGACACAAAGGAGCAGCAGCTCTACTCCTCTCCTCCGGATGTCTGACTCCTCCCCCTATCTCTAAGGCTGAGCCCAGGTACCCTACAGAGGAAACTCATTTTCACTGCTTGTATCCGCGATCTCGTTCTTTCGGTCACTACCCAGAGCTCATGACCATAGGTGAGGGTTGGGATGGAGATGGACCAGTAAATCGAAAGCTTTGCTTTCCGGCTCAGCTCCCTCTTCACCATGACGGACCAGTGCATTGCCTACGTCACTGCAGAAGCCGCACCGACCCGCTGATCCATCTCACGTTCTGCCCTCACTTGTGAACAAGACCGCAAGATACTTGAACTCCCTCGCTTCAGGCAGTAGCTCTCCCCCAACCCGGAGAAAGAAATCCACCGGTTTTCGACAGAGAACCATGGCCTCAGACTTGGAGGTGCTGACTCTCATCCCAACTGCATGCTGGAGGTCATGGTGTGATGGAGCCAACAGAACCACATCATCTGCGAAAAGCAGAGATGCAATTCTGAGGTCCCCAAACCGGACCCTTTCCTCCCCTGGCTGCACCTTGAGATCCTGTCCATGAAGATCACAGACAAGATTGGTGACAAGGGACAACCTTGGCGGAGGCCAACACCCACCGAGAACGTGTTCGACTTAACACCAAGTATGTGGACACAGCTCTCACTCTGGTCATACAGGGACTGGATGGCTCGTAGCAGCGAGCCTGGCACCCCGTACTCCCGTAGTACCCCCCACAAGACCCCCGAGGGACGCGGTCGTAAGCCTTCTCCAAGTCCTCAAAGCACATGCAGACTGGATGGGCAAACTCCCACGACCCCTTCAGCAGCCTCACAAGGGTAAAGAGCTGGTCCGCTGGTCCGCTGTTCCACGGCCAGGATGGAATCCACATTGCTCCTCCTGAATCTGAGGTTCGACAATCGGTTGGAGCCTCCTTTTCAGCACCCTGGAGTAAACTTTACCCGGGAGGCTGAGCAGTGTGATACTCCAATAGTTGGAGCACACCCTCCGGTCTCCTTTTTTGAAGATGGGGACCACCACCTTGGTCTGCCACTCTGCAGGCACCGTACCTGACCTCCACGTGACACTGAAAAAGCGTGTCAGCCAAGACAGCCCAACGGTGCCCAGTGCCTTCAGCATCTCAAGGCGAATCTCATCCACATCTGGCGCCTTGCCACTGGGGAGCTTTTTAACTACCTCAGCAACTTCTGCCAGGGATATGGGTGAGAGTTCCCCCGAGTCCTCAGGCTCTGCCTCGTTCACAGTCGATGTGATGGCCGGGTTCAGGAAGTCATCAAAGTGCTCCTTCCACTGCCCGACGATGTCCCCAGTTCAGGTCAGCAGTTCTCCCTCTCTGCTGAGCACAGCCTGAGACAAGCCCTGCTTTCCCTTCCTGAGTCGGTTAACGGTCTGCCAGAACTTCCTTGAGGCCAACCGAAAGTCCTTCTCCATAGCCTCCCCGAACTCCTCCCACACCCACATCATAATCAATACGCCACAATAATATAAATAACCAGCGCCAATTTATCAGTCAATAGGCCCGTTTGAGATGAGACAGGCCTGCGCAGATTTGATCACCGGCGATCGGAGCACAATGCATACTGGTTAGTTTTGTGTCCAACTCTCCTGACTTGCTCTGACGTATCACAGAAGTGGACGGCGATAAAATGGCAAGAGCGAGGCGGCCGCAGTTTATAGAGCCAGGCGCTGCAGTTGCTCTCCACCGACTGCACCGCCTGGCTCTCACCTGATCTAACAGCTTATTGGTTTATATGTCGATTCAACAATATGACTTTTTAGATAAACTATTCATTTTTGTTGTATTTTAGAGATTAAGATTGTATTTGTCTGATCTGAAGGTTTATTCTGTGAACAGAAAACATGTTGTGTGACTGATGGTGAAGTTTAGTCGTCACAGACTGAACACATTCATCATAAACTACACAGAGTCTACTGTGTATTAACACTGGACTGTATTAATTTTTGAAGTATTGAGCAGCACAGAGACTGGTGGTCAGTGGGATGTGAGGATTCTTAAACTAACGTGTACAGATGTGAAGCCTTGACTGTATCTGACTGAGCCTTAATGAAAGCTGTTGTCTTGTATCAAATATGAAGCTTACAGTCATACACAGTGTATTCAGTCTTTGTTGTTTTGGTGACAGGTCAAACTGATATGATGCTGATTTACAGCAGAGTTCATGAACCATGAACATAAACTACACATCACCTGTAAAACATTATAATAAATTAATCTTTCATAATTTAGTGTTCCTGTAAGAGGTGACCTCAGTCTCACCTGGATTTATCTGTTCAGTCTGTTAACCTCCTCCTGCTGTCTGTCTGTCTGTCTGTCTGTCTGTCTGCAGGACTATGAAGTGAACGAGTGTCTGAAGCAGCTGATGATGTCCCTGCTGAGGGCCTACCGCTTCTCCCCCATCATCCCCGACCTTGGTTTCCAGGTAGGTCCCAGATGCCCCTTCTCGTCCTGGTCCTGGTCTAGGTCCTGGTCTAGGTCCTGGTCCTGGTCCTGGTCCTGTTTGGACCCACAGATTATAAATCTCTGTTTTAACAGGAAGTGTTAATGTTAAATAATTTCCACAGGTTAATAACTCTACAGACTCAAACCTGCAGGTATCAGTGAATTTGAATATTTAATTTTAGCAGTGTCCACTGTGACATCATACCCTCGTCACATGTTGGCTGTAAACTTTCATTCGCTGCTGGTGAAAAGACATTTTACAGCAGAACTCTGTTTATTACACAACTTTATTGGACATAATGTCACTCTGTTCATTTAAATCAGTGAAATACAAATATTCCAGATTTATGAACTAGATGAAGTCAAGGTGGCGTTGATGCACTGTGTTTGGAAATAGAGAGAAATAACAGAGATGCAGCAGCATGCACATAATTGAATAGGTTTATTTTTCTACAGAAAAAAGACTTGTCACAAGTTGTTAAGTCTTCTGTTAGAAAATGTTACTCATATTTTCAGAGTAGAGCTGCATGACTTGCACATGGATGGATACTATCATCGCGATGTGAGTCACAAGTTTAATGGTAAATTTTGCTTGACATTTTCACTGGAAAAAAAAAATCTAAGATGATGATTTTTTTTTTTTGCCGGGGTCTGTACCAAACAAGCATGTTCCCTCATGACTGGAACGTGATGTGTAGGCCGAGGCCTTTCTGCAGCATCACAGTGCTTCATTTGTGATGGTATGTAGTGGCACATTTTACCTGCATCAAAACCTGCAGCTGCTGCGATTTGCAAATTGCTCTTGGGCGTACTGCGAATTCAGAAATGTTTTGATTAATGGTGCAGCCCTAATGAACGTCAAACATGAAGTTTTGAAAAGCTTTTGTGAGACGTGTGGACTAGTGAATCCTGCCTGCTGTCAACCTGCAGTTGATTTATTTTTCAGATTGAAGCGCAATTTATACTTGTGCGGTGGTGTCACTCTGCAGTTACACCTCCAGAACGCTAGTTGGCGCCGGGGTTACTGTGAAGTGTTGTGAAGTTTAGTTGATTTAAAAACACACGTTAAACACATTAAACACAGATTACACACACATTAAACACACATTAAACATGGCTTGATAGAGACAGTGTCAAACACAAATCAGCTTCACTATAACTCTCAGCATTCACAGACAAACACTTGTCTTTATCTGGACACATTTTCCAAACAAATACAACATGCTAACGTTATTAGCACAAGCCTATGGCATTTTACATTGTATAAATTATCCTAGCAGCTAGCAGCTCATATTTCAGCCAGGATAAATCACACACAGTGTGTGGAGGCTTTATTGTCTTCACGATTTATTGTTTCTTATCTGTGAAATTAAAGTGAATCAAAGCTTTGTTTCCACTGAGGGAAATGGTTTCAGCTTACAGAGACAGACAGGAAAACTGATGTTTTGTGTCTGAATAGTAACTTTATAGTTTTCTGTTTCTTTGTGTGCATAAAGAAAAGATATAATAATACTAATAAAGCTGATAATAAAGTAATAATAAAAGTCACTTAATAGAATATTTGTGAGTATTTGTTCTCTTTAAATCCCTCCTGACTCAGACCATAACTTTTGTTTCAGATCCACTACCTGCGTCTGACCACGGCCATCCTGCACCACGAGAAGTCCAGGAAGTACCTTCTCAACAACGTCCTATATCCTTCTGGTTCTTCTGACGCCTCTCAAACATCATAAAATACTTTGTGACTTTATTAGCTCATCGAAATTCTCCTTAACAACAGTTTCACGTTTGATGTTCTGCGCTCAGTCGTGTTTTTTTACATCAAAACTCCTCTGAGGGTGAAGGAGGCGGGGCTGGAGGAGCTCATTCCCACCACCTGGTGGCCCACGCACTTCGACAAGGAGGTAAATAACTCACCTTCAGGGTTTTATTGGACTCTATTGTTTGTAAACCACACAGTACAATCTACAAATGTGTACCATGAGCCACAAACATGTCTGTTTTTTTTGTGTAAAAATCATTTCCAGAAAAATACAGCGTGATTTGCAAATGTGAATAATTTTTTCTGTGTATTTTAATTTCACATAAAAATGTTACAGGTTTTACAAATACAGAGATTCACCACAGCAAATACACGTGAAGTCATGTTTATGCATTAGTGGATCAACTCTTACACGTGAAACTGGTTTTCCACGTTTGTGGATCGCTTCCCATGAGGTTGTGGGTCATGTGATATTTGTGACTTCTCTCCCATTTCTTTGACTAAAATATCCACAAATGTCAAGAATAGTCGTCGTGAAGCTCGTATTGTTAGCTTCCATAGAGGGTCTTGTCCACGCTGCTCAGGTGAGCTGAGACTGATCAGACGTCGGGGAGGATCAGCTCAGTCTCAGCTGGACACAAATACGTTCAGGAGTAAAAAGTTTCAGACTGATGGAGGTCACATGACAGGGGAGGTCATTAATATGAGCTCATTAAAACAAACTGCGTCTGCAGTGTTTATTATTTACCGGTGGACGACGAGCACGATTAAAAACAGACATACGACAGCGATTTTGTTCAGTCAGAAACAACAATTTGTTTTTTTTTTCCAGCGCTTTGATGAATTTAGTGAAAATTAATGGAAAACAAAAATCTGTGTTGATCCAAACTGTGTGGGATCAGTCACTGATGATGATGATGATGATGATGATGATGAAGCTTTATTCAACAGACGTGTTCATATTGTTCCTGTGTGTGTTTTCATACACACTCTCACACTGAATGACAACATGAAAACCGACGGACGCAAAGTCTGAACTGTTGAATGAATGTGTCTCTCAGGGAAAAGACGAGCGGGAGCCCAAAGACGAGAGCGCAGATGAGCGACTGAGACGGAGAGCGTATGAGAGAGGCTGTCAGAGACTGAAGAAGAGGATCGAAGGTCAGAACACTCGTCTTCATCCAGCTGCTTCTCTGCTTACTGTACACCACCGAAACTACATCCTCACAGTACCTGTACACAGAACAGGAAGTACTCATTCATCCTCACAGTACCTGTACACAGAACAGGAAGTACTCACTCATCCTCACAGTACCTGTACACAGAACAGGAAGTACTCA